AGTTTCTAGACCAAGGGGCATACCTCATGAGTACAACAGACCTAAGTTAATTCTTATGTTTGGAAAGAAATGAGCCCAGATAGCCTGAGAGTGAAAGAAAAAAAAAATGACAACTTCATGAGGATGCTTTTTAAAAAGTAATCTGAAAATAACAAAAATACTAGAATGAAAAGGTAAAAAAGGTGGAGAGTAAGAAGTTTAAGTTGCTTGCAACTAAAAATTCCTTTGGCTATACATATTTGAAATCCAGTTGACAAAGGCTTAAAATATATATGTATTTATTACAGATTCCTCCCACTTAAAGAGACACCATTTAATGATATTAACTGTATCATTATTTACTGGCCCTCTGTAGTGGCTAGTCTTTTAAATTCTTTTGAGGTGAACACTTCAAAGAAAATATTTATATATGAGTCTGGTGGTTTAAATAAGTGTGATTGCATTGAATCATATGTTTGATACCTGGTCCCTAGCTGATAGAACTATTTGGGAAGGGTTAGGAGGTGTGGCCTTGTTGGAGGAACTGTGTATAATTTTGCTAAGAGAAAATACTTCTCCGATTATTTAAAAAAATCATATTAGCTAATAAATTATCATCCTGTATCTTTCTCAGATTTTGCTTACCTTTGATAAAATGAAGACACGTTATCTCTATACTCTTCTTGCAAGCTTGCATTATCTTGTAATCATCTTCCCTCGGCCTATGTATTGCTGGGATTACAGGCATGGGCAGTCATGCCAGATTATTCAAAACTCAAACTAGACAATGACTTGTCAATCAATGTCCTTGCAAAGTCAGTCACAGAACAAGCGGATAACACACTGGGGTCTATCTAAGAGAAGCTGAGTTGGTTTTGAAAGTTGAATTATCTTCTTTGTTCCCTGGACTGTAAAGGTGGGGAAGTCTATAATACTGCTGTATTAGGCTTGATGGAAATGGAAATCAAAAGACCAGTGTTTGTTTCTTAGGGATGGGGGTGGGGAGAGAAAACAGAGGTACAAGTTTCTCCCACCACTGGAAGTGTATTACCCATCAGTCAGACTGCTTACCCATCTCTGTGTATGACTTCTGGCTCATACATAGGTTCCTTTGAGGAGCTTGTTTGTTGGGCTTATAAAATCCTAACAAACTTTGACTATTTGGTCAGTCAGTAGGTAGGTAGGTAGGTAGCTGGCTGGATAGATAGATAGATAGATAGATAGATAGATAGATAGATAGATAGATGACAGACAGATGACACATTGACTCCCAGTTTCATTTAGCTGAACACCTACTAAAAGATGGGTATGGATATTCCTCTGTTTCTATTTATGGAGCTTACAATTATGTGATGTTAAAGACATGAAATGATTTAGAAATAGCACACATGTGTACACTTAAATAGACAGCTACATCTGTGAGACAATCTTTAAAAGAATGTTTTAGGGTAGTGTGTGCCACATAGTAAGGTAGTGTGGAGTTTCAGCCTGAACATGGAGTATTGTGGTTTTATGACCAAGCCCAGGGTGAAGAAGCAAAGGCTATAGTGGAAAGGTCATGCTTGGAGGCTTCTGGAAACAATGGCAACCTTAAACAAAAATAAATAAAACAACTTTGAGGACACACACAGGCATCAGCCGCTAACAAACAGTGATCTCCTGGCAATAGGGAAAAAATGAGGGGAGCCAGCCAGAATCAGCCAGGTGGCCATGTAGAGGGGAGGCACCCAGCAGCCTTGGGAAGAGCTGGGGCTGGATATGTGTGAGCCAGGCAGTGAGAATTCAGACAGGGGAGAATGTCTGGGGATCTGCAGTGTCTCCCTCCAAAACTGAGTTGATTGCCAATTAAACCCGACCTTCAAAGAAACCACTCAAGACCAGACAAAAGGCATGGGGTAAGGAGGGTCCAAAGCTCACAAGGAGGTGGGCAGAGCGGAGTAGCCCAGCAGCCAGAGGGTAATCTTGTCCCTCTCAGCCATCAGTTACAGTTAAAGCAAGACAGACCTTACTTGGAAAGTAGAAAAAAAAAATTAATCCTAGACCAAGGCCACCTAACAAAACTGAAGTACAAGATGCAACCCAGCAAAACTCTTTGCAAAGTTTTCACTCTTCCAAAACAAAGCCCAAGAGTTGATAGGGACACACACACACACACACACACACACACACACACACACACACACACAAATTTCTGGCAGACAACAAGGTAACATCCACAGTATCTGACTTCCTAATGATTATGAGACATACAGAGAAGCAGAGAAATGCAGGTCATCATGTGGGGGAAAGTCAACCCAAATACAGCAATTACATGGAGGACAGAAGTTATTAATTAATTATGCATATCCAGCTGGGCCTGACAGCACTTGCCTGTAATCCTAGGATCTGGGAGACTGAGGTACTTATTGGGAGTTTGAGGACAGCCTAGACTGTATAGTGAGAGTCTATTTCAAAATACCAAAATAATAGTAATAATAACAACAATGTGTTAAAACCTAGAATAAAGATTGGCCATGATGGGTAGGTAGGTATTAAAGAGATCCACACTAAAATTCTAAAGATGAAAGTGAACACTGTCTAAGGTGTGAAATTACTGGATAAAACTGACTGGGATCACATACTGGAACAGAAAAAATGGAGTAACTAAAGGCACAGCAATAGGAACTAGTCAAAATGTGTGTGTGTGTGTGTGAGAGAGAGAGAGAGAGAGAGAGAGAGAGAGAGAGAGAGAGCACAAAATAGATGAGCAGTGAACTGAGACAGAGCTCACATCACTTAATCATTTAGCATTTGCTTCCCTCTGAGAAATGATTGCTCACATCAACACTGTGACTTAACAATCAATGCCCTTACAGAGTTAGTCACAGCCCAAGCTGGACACAACTTGGGGTCTAGGAGAAGCTGAGTTGGGTTTTGAAAGTCGAGGTATATCTTAGAATGAAAACGTACCCACAGTAAACAGTATGTGCTGCTGATATTTGGGTGCGTCTCAGACAAAGGATGCTAGGTTAAAAAAAAAATGAAAAGCAGAGGCAAGAAGCTATTTTGGAACTGGGCTTATATACAGGTCTAGAAATGCAAACAACTCTACTCTGTGTGTCAGAAAATAGATATATGGAGGAAGGGAACCGTGAGGGCAGGAGGGAGGGCAGGAGGGAGGGCAGGAGGGAGGACGGTCAGGGCATTCACAAAGGTTCAGGGGTGATTTACCTATGTTCTTTATGGCATTGTGGACATATTGGTATATTTCAAACATTTGACGCTTTTTAGTATATTTTAATGATATTTCAGAAAAGCTACTAAAATAAAATAATCATGTACATAAATAAATCAAGAAACTTGACTTTGAAACAAAGGAGAGACCCAGCAGCAGCTAGGAGCCACTGCTTTGAATGACGTTCGTTTGTTGAGGTCGGGGAGGGGAGGGGGTTGTTTCTGTGAGCCGAGGATGGTTACCGGAAACTACAGAAGGGAGGGGTTAATTGATGGAATGACAGGAGGAGCATGGCAGCATGTTAAGAGCCCAAGGCCAAATGATGCAGCCTGGACTATGAGGAAGAGAACGGGACATAAAGAGAGGCATACTGGGCACACCCTCCCTGGACTTCATTTTGCAAACGCTGCAGGGAAAAGTTCTTGTTCTCAAGCACCATCAGTATAAAGTAAGTTAATCAGATTCCCACAGAGCCCCCTGATCTAAAGAGGTGTCCCCCTTAGGCTTACTTTCTCCCAGATGCAGTTACTCCAGCTAAATCCAGGTTTTAACCGATGTGAATCTCTGATTCACTGCAAAAATAAGATTACTTTATTGAACAGCAAGCGTGTGCCTTCCTCCTTATCAGAAGGGCCGAGTTGGATGCTTGGCTCTTTTATCAAAGGTCCTCATGTGGACCCACGAGCAGCCCTGACAGCCCGGTGTTTATAACCCTGGTGCAGGTTTTGGAGATATAAAAAGTGTAGCCGTCTAGCAGCGAGGGATGTTGGTGTTCAAAATTATCATTTGATCATACACTGTGTGTGTGTGTGTGTGTGTGTGTGTGTGTGTGTGTGTGTCTGTCTGTCTGTCTGTCTCTAAACGACAATTTAGCATGTTTAAACAACACACAAAGTGGCACTTGAACTAAATCATTTATTTTAGCTTTAAAATAACGCATAAACTCCACTTTAGCAACGTACCGTTTTTACTTAGATTCAGACTTCCAAGGGGCACTAACTCAAGCGTACCGTGTAAAATGCCCATCTTGTAAGAATAATTTCAATATCGTTCATATTTATTCAACAGGTTTAACGCGATGGGCACACTGATAAAACTGGTCTTTTAATCTGGTTCATTTCAATCCGAAAGCATGTACTCATTCAGACGTTAACAAAGCATACTCAGGACTTCACAAGACTAGCGGACAGGGGCGCAGGGGTCTGAGGTGGGTCTGCTCCTCCAACCACTGCCACTTTCCAAAGTAGCCCTGGAACCACTGCAGCCCCTTGGACCTCGGGCTTCCAGCGGCGGCCTCTGGGGAGTTTCTGGCTAGGACCGGGTCTGGCTCTCAGAGTTGGGGCGAGTGCAGGGGGAGGGGTCTACCTTTTGGGGAGACTAGGGCAGTAAGTCCAAGGAAGCCGCTGGGGACCCTGCAGCACGGGACTCGGAGATCCGCTACTACTTGCTCCGGGAGCGGGAAAAACCTCACCTCGCTCGGCTGCCTCCCCCCGCAGCGCGCACATTTGTCGCGCGGACCCCAGAGATGCTCCCCAAGTACAGGATTCCGGTCCCTACAGACCCGCGCACAGAGGGCTGGCAATTGCCGCGACAGGCGACGGAGAACGTCCCCGTTGCGCCCATCTCTGGCGGGACTCGACGGGGAGAAGGAGAGCGGGCGCCAAGGGATCCTGGCTCTTGGCTGCTCCCTTTTCCCCGCCGAGAGTTGGTGTGTGGGTGGCTACAGACGCCAGCCACTTGAGCGGCTGTGGCTCCAGCCTCCTCCCCCGCTGGTGGGGGCGGGAAGTGGTGGTGGGAGTCACCCAGGCGTGACTGCCCCGAGGCCCCTCCTGCCGCGGCGAGGGCGCTCCATAAAAGCCTGCTGGCGACGGCTCTCCGCATCCCATCGGTGGCTCTCATCCCTCACGGAGGCGCCCACAGCAGAGCACTCGCCGCGCAGAGACGCCAGCCCGCCCGCCACGGTGAGTGCCAGGACCCACTGGGACAGGAGCACGGGCTCTCAGACGCCCGTGAACTTGCCCCGCAGCGGGTCCTCTGAGCCGGCTGCCAGCTTCACACCCAGCCCTTCTTGGCGGCTAAATTCCACTTACCAACTCTGGTCAGACTGTCCACCTGCCCTTCCCCGGGACTCCACTGGCTGGGCGTCCCCCTCCATCCCTTTTATCTTTTGAGGGTATGGAGAAGAACGTGGGGGCTCCTATCCCAGGGAAGGGACTTTTTGCGGGGCGGGTGCAACCAGGAACCCAGATGGCCTGCGCTTAGGTTTCCCAAGTACTGGCCCTGGTGTCGGGAGCCCGGCTCCCTGTAGCTTCCAGGATTCGAACTGAGCCTGTGAGCCCCCCTTTCCAAGCCCTGTTCCCACACCCTGGGGATCTGACTGTCACAGCGCCTGTCGCCAAAGAGATCAAAAGTGACCCAGAAGAAAGTTTTCTCCTCCAAGGGTGATTTAGGAAGGAGAGGAGAAAAGTGGTCATTCTTTAGAGGGCAGAACTTAAAGTTCTGTCCTACAAGCACCTGAACTAGAGGACCTCTGTCCTCTGCCTCTCACCGGGCGAGTTGGAGGGAAGTTTCATGGAATATGGGGGCAGAGCGGAGGGGCCGGGTCAGGGAACGTGGTCCAGGAAAGCAGTGGCGCGTGCCAAAGCAGGGCTTCTTTCTGGGGTCTGGGATGGAAAAGGAGGAGAGTGGAGAGTGATAATGGGAATTGGGACACAGGCGAGCATCCTTGGCATTCCGAAGTCTGAGCCTTTTGTACCCGCAGATGCTAGGTAGCAAGCGAATGGGGCTGTGTGGACTGACCCTCGCTCTGTCCCTGCTTGTCTGTTTGGGCGTGCTGGCTGAGGGATACCCCTCCAAGCCCGACAATCCCGGCGAGGATGCACCAGCGGAGGACATGGCCAGATACTACTCGGCTCTACGACACTACATCAATCTGATCACCAGGCAGAGGTGGGTGCATCCGCCGGCTGGTACCTGGAGCTCCAGGCCAGAACAACTGAGCATCTGGGGACCTTAAACAACAAGGATGATTTCTTTTTTTTTCTAGTTCTGTCCCAGGGTAGGGCAAGATCGGTCACAAATTCAGCTCTAGATAAATGCGTGAGCAGGGAACACACTACACAAACTGGATACTTTCTCTTTGTCACTATAAGTCCTGAGCCCAAGACTCAGTGCCTCTGGGTTGTGTGTCTGTCTCCCCCCCACCCTCCCGGCCCCCCCCCCCCCCCGGGCTTTACATCAGTTGGGGACCTATCCAGCACCCTCCTTGGAAGAGAGCCTGCCCCTGCCGCAGGTGCTCAGCTGGCTAGCTGGATAATGGTGTAGGGAGAAGAAGGAACCTCACCCAGAGTAAACAACCATCACCCAAAGCACCAAGGACACAGCCCAGCTGTCAAAAAGGTGGTTGAGACCTTCCATCCTGCCCTGGGCAAACTGAGTGGCAGCCTTTGGGGAAAAAACAAACTGAACCTCGGTTCTATCTCAGCCCCACAACAAGAATTCCTAGGCGGTCTTAAAAAGCCGACTTTCCCTATTTTATAGCAACTGAGTTCTGAAAAGAAAGTGTTTGGATGTTTGCCTTATTAAGAAGCAAAACAAAGCAAAAGCCTTCAGATTAGTAACTCTAGTGGATATATCTCTGACTGCCTGGGACCTGAGAGACGGTGAACTTTATTTTTAATGCCCAGAAAGTAACCAAGTCAAATCCAAGCTACCTTAAAAACAATATGGGACTTAGCTTGCAAAACCGGTGGATTTTAGTTCTAAATAATTTAACAACACATTTTAATTACTGAGAACCTTGAAGAACTATACAGGCAAGCCCTTTGGAAGCATTAATGTTCTTTACTTAGCATGTTTCAATTATGTGTGGTAAATTACCAGAGGGAGGTTAAACTGTTCACGACCCAGGGGACTGTTAGGTGGGATACAAAGGGGTCATGCTTCTGAAACAACTGCCTACTCTTAATTTCACCAGAAAGGTATACGACATTCTGGAAGCCTTCTGGGGAAAACAATCCCAATGCATACAGAATCACTTAAGTAATACTGACTCATAATCTTTTGAAATCTGATAATTCTGACTAGCAAAAAGCAATTGTGTTTTTGAGCTCCATAGACTTCCTAGAAAGTCAGTGATTTCAATTTTTTTAAATTCCATACAGCTCAAAGAAAAAAAATTACACAATTGGTATGATGCCATGTTTAAAAAAAACTTTATTTAGATACAACATATAGAACTACGTTTCTTGGTAAAGATTGCTGCTCTCTAGCTTTGCTACACTGCATAGAAGGATCCCACTTCATGTTTTCCCAGCCATCTCATTCAGTCTTTTCCTCAAAACTCTGAAGTGAATTTAACTGTCTCTGCTTTGAAGCTCATAAACCTAAGGGCATTTCAAGAAAGCTTTCTTAGAGTTATAGAATGGGACCCTCCACTGAGTTTCCTGGCATGGGGCCACACCATCACATTCAATGTAATTTCTGTTATCTTTAAGGGAAAAAATAGGGATGGGGGTTTGCAACGTCGTGGGAAGAGAATCAGGTTGGATGGGAGTGAGCTGGCCACTAAGGCCTTTTCTTCTATCATCTTGGTAATAAAGCTACTCCCTGGAAACTATTAGAAGCTCCATTGTGCACTCATGGACTTCCCCCCAAAGATTGACAGGCAGAAGCCCACGCCTTTGAAATCCACCATGGCATTTGTGACTGCTTTATCTGTATTATTCTCTTCCTTCCTCCTACCAGTCCTGTTGGTAGCTGTTTGCCCATGGCTGTGCGTGCTGCTGATTCATGGTTTCTGCAGGCCAGATTTCTTATGCTAGTCTGTGGATCTATCACATCTTGTTAATATGGTTCCTTAGAATAGTGGTTTTCAGCTGGGGAAGGGCATGGATTTTATACTCCCTAGGACATTGGGCAACGTTGGGGGAGACTGTTTGGCACAACCAGAGTGAGTGCTACTGGTATCTAGGGTGGAGCCCACAGGGATGCTGTTAAACATCCCAGGATGCCCAGCCCAGCTCCCCACCCCCTACATCCCCCCCTTAAGAATCCTCTTCCCCCAAGTGTTAGTACAGCAGCAGTTGAGAAGTGCACCCTGAGATTGGTGTTTCTCCACCCTCGCTTTGAGTGACAATCACATGGAGAACTTAAAACAGAATGACTTGGCCTCCACTTTCACCGACTAAATCAAGTCCTCTGAGATGGGATCTGGGCTTTCTGGTGTCCTTAAAAGCGCACCAGGTGAGTTCAAGGCGAAGCCAAGTTTGAGAATCTTTGCCTTAGAAACTCTTCAGAAGCTTGCTTATTACAGAGAGGACTGATAATCCACAATTAATTAGAGAAAAAAGAGCCCTGAGCCTGGCCACCCTGCAATCTATGACCAGGCAGAAGCTGTCACAACACTGGTAGATTTTTGACTGGAAAAGGGTTGGGGCTGGGGAGATCCAGCCCTTTTGCTCACTGGAGCATGACAAGGGTGAATGAATTCAGCTTCGCTGCCCAAAGTGTGAGAATTAGCAAGATCGACTGAAGGGCAGAATGGCCAAGTGCAAGCCACTGCCTCTGGTGGATGGTAACTAATGATGGGAGAGAGAGCAGGGGTGAGGAAGAGAGAGCAGGGGCGGGGAAGAGAGAGCAGGGGTGAGGAAGAGAGAGCAGGGTGAGGAAGAGAGAGCAGGGTGAGGAAGAGAGAGCAAGGTGAGGAAGAGAGAGCAGGAGTGAGGAAGAGAGAGCAGGAGTGAGGAAAAGAAAGCAGGGTGAGGAAGAGAGAGCAGGGGTGAGGAAGAGAGAGCAGGGTGAGGAAGAGAGAGCAGGGGTGGGGGAGAGAGAGCAGGGTGAGGAAGAGAGCAGGGGTGGGGGAGAGAGAGCAGGGTGAGGAAGAGAGCAGGGTGAGGAAGAGAGAGTTGTTTCACTTTTACTTCCCTTGCAAAGGAGTGATAAGAAGTCTCACCAAAGCATTTGAATTTAGTTGTGCTGGGTCAGCACTTAGAAAAACATCTGTCAGCTTTGTCCAGCTGTTCTACCTATTTGTTAATCCATCCAGGCCAGGCAAAGTGTTCATTTGGACATGGCGTGGCTGTTGGTGTTCATGCCTTTTCTGAGAAAGGGGAAAGTCATATAATTTGCTATCAACTTTTCAAACCCTTTAGCAGTTTTCTGAAGCAGGTAATCTATTTTACCTTTAGAGATAAATGTAACCCCACGTTCATACATTGTCCTTACCATCTCCTACTGTAGGCAGAGGAGAAGGGCCCACAGAAATACTCCTGTGGGCCAGCAGGACATCTTCACACTTCAGGGAAGGCATTTGTGCCTCCAACAGATGGGGAAAATAAGACCAGGGTATGTTAGGAGCTGTGAGGAAGGAGCAATGGTGATGGAGCTGTGAGGAAGCAGTGTGATGATGGAGCTGTGAGGAAGGAGCAGGGTGATGGGGGTGTAAGGAAGGAGCAGGAAGGATGGACAGACACACTTGGGCAGCAGCCACACACATTAGTGCGATGCTTTGTCTCTCCAGCACAGCTTCACATCAGTTCTCCACAGACACAGATTTAACCAGGGCTCATGACTCGATTTCAGTTTAACAAATGCACAAATAGACTCAAAGACACAGGTGGGCCTCAAGCATCATTATTCTGGGACTCTTTCTGTGATGCTATATTTTCTTCTAGTTAAGATTTAAACTGTTGTGAATCATCAGAACTATAGCTAATCAACTGATTGTGAAAACATTTTAATATGTTTTAGTGTTTTTAATTTCATGAAGTTGTAAAAAATTATCTCTCCTACATACAAGGAACATTATATACACTAAGCTTGTTGTGTACTTATAGTTGTATTTATATATTTAGGAATATAACCCCCCCCACACACACACGTAATAACAATTAGGGAAAAGGAGTCCATGAATTTGAAATAGAACTGGAGAAGGCTACAGGGGAGGGTTCATAGCGAGACAAAGAAAGGGGTAAATGCTGTAATTATGGTATAGTTGCAAAAATAAAATATTTGTGAAGTACTTTAGAAAATTAAATATATATATAACTTTTAAATTGTATTTCTTTATTGTTTGGGATGAGAGAGGAAATTTGTGTTGGTGTTGGTGGATGCATGCAGACATCTGCACGTGAAAGTCAGAGGGTAATTTTCCATAGTCGGCTCTCGATTTCCTCTTTGGGTTCTGGGGATTGAACCTAGGTGATGAGGCTCGCATGGCAAACACTTTTCCATCTCAGCAGCTTGTGTATGAACAAGCATATGTATATGTGTGCATGTGTATAGTGTTATGACAGTTCCTGACGACATATGCTTCACACTCTGAGAATACTCATTAGCAGATGGACCGACACTCTCTTCCTCTCTCCTCACGGTCTCTATAGCTACCCTCAGCTCACTTTATAAAACTTTGATTTTACTTTCTTGTTTCAGATACGGCAAGAGATCCAGCCCTGAGACACTGATTTCAGACCTCTTAATGAGAGAAAGCACAGAAAACGTCCCCAGAACAAGGTACAGCAAGGCTTGGGATGGAGACATTGCTACAGAGCTTGGGGTACCAGGGGAGGTGAGCTGAAGAAGTTGGGAGTCCATGTGAACATTAGGATGGAAGAATCCAGAAAAGAGGGATTAGGGCAGAGATGGGGGTTGAAAACTGTATAGAAAAGACCTTGCTTTTCATGCATTCACTGGCAAATCTCAACTTCCCGGGTATATTGCTTTCTAATGAATATTATTTAGTGTTCCTTCCTAAATATGACTTTTAGCTTGAAGTGATACTCTATAGAATGTCTTGCCTTGTTAGAAGTAAGGGAGCGTAGAGCAAGCCCACAGCTTCAAATTGAAATGACCAGTCATCTATTTGGGCGGAACAATCTAGTTTCCATACATTGGGTGGCATGCCCAAATGTTCTAGAGCCTGCATCCGTTATGTGTTTGATTCTGCCTTTCCTGGCTTTCCTGGGGATAAGTCAGATGCTCCTGGCTACTTTTTGATATATTTTGGTTCGATACAGTGATTTGTTCTATTCAAAGAATCACTGTTGGGTAACGTATTATCCTTAGGTGCATATCTGTAGTTTGGAACCTTTCTTGGAGTACGTGTAGGTCTTGAGACAGGTGTCTGCCCAAATCTAAGGGCTCACCATTGGGCTAAGCAGGTGGTTTCTGGACAAGAAAGCGGTACTGCTAAACGAGGCAGAATCTGCCCCCACTTTCCTAACCCCGAAACTGCTCTGTGGACCTTGCCTCCTGCAAGATCTCAACACACATTCTTATGTATCCCTAGTAGCTAGCTATCTCCCCTAATGCCCAGAACTCTACACCATCAGAAGCCGTGTTCCCCAGAAGGGGTCACCAGTGTGCTTGCTCAGTGAGTATGACTGGAGGGTCCCTCTGCATGGAAGTTCTCCATGGAGAACCCATGGTGACAGAAGGACCACCCACCCTCCCTCAGTGCTATTTCAGTTCTCTTAGGAAACAACCGGCCAGATGATTTCTCTGAGGCAAACAATCATTTGTACTGGAATAAAGTTCAGGGCTTCTGTCCCTGGAAGCATCACCCTAGACTTGAGCAGTGAATTCGAGGAATGGTAGGAAATTCATAAGCATTGCTTTTGAGACTAAACAATAAGCATCTTTTCATGTCTCATTGATATGCATGGGATATTTGTCACAGTAGAAGTTTAGGGCAGGCTATGTATACTTATTATTCTTCTGGAAATAATGATCCAGACCTACTTAGAACTCCACGGCCTGCACAGTTAGTGTAGGAAATAAAGTTAATTGCACCCTGACTGACAGACTCAGTCATGTGCAATTAGAAGGAGACCAAAGTTGATAGCCTTGGAGTTGCCTGTGAATGCTGTTTTATTAAAGGGGGCCCTTTATAGTCTAATAAATAGCGTCTCGCTCCATCAGAAAGGCTTGCTGGAAAACAACCGTAGCATATTCAGAGTTGAGTCACACTAACCTTCTTGTTAGAGTTTCACGTGATTCCTAGAGTTTTGATCTTCAGAAATACGGTGGAGTCCCTCGGCTCCTTTGATAAGTACAGAGCCTTCTAAGTACTCTCTTAGAGACTCCAGTTCCCATGGGCAAAAGCTGATGAACTGGATCTTCATTATGCTGCTGTTCCATGTGGCTTCTTCTTTTCAGTGCCAACAGGAGGCTTCATAACAGCTTCTGATCATTGTGCAGCTCGGGACGGAGTGTCTCACTCTTGTAGGACCCCAGGGAGCTGCGGCAGTTGCTTCTTCATGATTTTCTTCTTGTGTTTTACAGGCTTGAAGACCCTTCCATGTGGTGATGGGACATGAAACTCCCTCTCCTGACTCTTCCTGTTTTCCACCCACATCTCATCTCATCCTGTGATACCCGTCTGCCTGTCCCACCAATGCATGCGGCCACCAGGCTGGATTCTGCATCATTTCCCTTATTGTCTCTGTATATATGTGTGTTTAAATAAAGTATCATGCATTCAAAATTGCCTTCTCCTCAGTGACTAATCTGTTATCACAATAGAAAGAATTAAATTATAATCAGTCTCAGGCAACAGATTCAGAGTTTGTTTCACCAATATTGAAGCAATGGCCACGAAGAGGAAATGGTGCTGGTGTCCTTGGAAGAATTTGTCTCAGAACTTTGTCAATGTGTCTCATATCTCTCTGTCTAACACAGCGGTCATGAGTGGCTGACTGAACACCCGATGTGACTAATGTAAATAAGGAGTGGAGATTTCCATCCCGTGTCATTTAAATTCATTCGAATAGGCATGTGTTGCTGGTGGCTGCCACATCACATCCAACAGCTAAAGTCTATGCATGATTTGAGGTCACCCTTTGAATATGAGTAAGAATCACACTGGGCAGGATGATCACCTCACACAACACGGGCATGTTAATTAACTTAGCTGAAACATCATTCAACTTCCTCCTTCAAGCACTGATTTGCATGGGCTTAGTTTAAAATTAATGCTGCTCAATTCTTAAATGTACTCATAATCAAAGAAAATGGGCCTTCCTTATCCCACAGTGGTGTTTTGTTCTACCCTGTAAATCATATGTGATATCTTTAAATTGCTAGCAAATACCCAATAATAATGTTTAATAACAGAGGCAAATGCAAAGAAAACAAACAGATTTTAGGTGATTTTTTTTTTTTTATCATTTTGCCAATATCGTAGAAGGTACTTATAAAAACTAAATTGACCATGGTGTCTCTATGGAATCATTGGCCCATCACTGACTGTAATATATGACACATGACTGTCTGTTATTTTCTGTACATAAGTAATTTTCACATTTCCACAGCCAGTGAAGCCAGTGATGCTATTTGCGAGTCTCCTTGATAAAAATTGTCCTGTAATTTCTAAAAAGTCCTCATTATTTTTCTTTGTTCCTTTAAATACTGATATGCAAGGAAGGTGTTTTAAAAATCTTTAAAGGTTGACTAAGTCAGCATTTACCATTGTATAACATGAGTGTTCACTACTAACTGATTACATTTGGAATTTTTGTTTACTAAAGTCAGTATTATGTAAAGAAAGTTGACTCAGAGCCATCTGGCAGCACAGATAGGCTGAGAATGTGTCACTGTATAAAGGCTTCATTACATAAGGTAAATAAAAAAGGAGTAGTATGCATGAGCCATTGAAAAATAATCCAGGAACTTCATTTTAATGGAAAATGTCAACTTCTTGTCCCACCAACCTAAACATCAAATAGCCCACATTTCACTCATACCCAGTCCTTGGTCTCCTAGCTGCTTCACCACATCTTATCAGAAAGACTGAAACGTCCCATCCCTAACTTGTGTGGTCCAGGTCCAGTGACTTCTCAGACTCTCTTCTCTGACTTCCAAAATCATGGGACTTCTGAGTTCTCACTCATGAGATGGAGATAATAATCCCTAGGGATCAATATTCATGGTAAGTTAGAAGTAAGTCATGGAAATGGGGTAGGTAGGGATTGTGTTTTGATGAGTTGGGTTATCAATCTCCAGTAAACAATAATTGCTTTTATGATATATACTGATGATTAACTTGAATAACTGAGAAACTACATGTCAAAAGATCCCTGTAGTAGTATTTCACAAACATTTTCAGACTACTGACCATCTTCAGAGTAGGCTTAAGGATGCTGGACCATCTACCTGACAGGGCACAAATAAAGCAGGGTGGAGATAGCTCCTCCCCCCTCGTAGGAATTAGGCACCTGGGTTTATTAGAGCAAGGAGGGGTACCCACCTCAGGTTGGGGAGAGCACAGGAGGCAGGACTTAGGGCCGCTGAAGTGGTAGCAGCAAATGCCACGTGGAATAAAAAGGACAACTTAGTTTCTTCTCTGATGGCTGTGATAAAGTATACCTTCAGAAGCAACTTACGGGAGAAAGGGTTTATTTTAACTTAGAACTCGAAGTACAGTCCATCAGTGCAGGGAAGTCAAGGCTGCAGCTGGTCCCGTCAGAGTCCACAGTCAGGATCAGGAGAAGGCAGAATGTCCGGTGGTGCCCAGTTCCTTTTCTCTAGTTGTATAGGTCAGGCTTCCATCCAGAGAATGGCACCAGCCACGGTGGGCATAATCAAGACAATCCCTGTGGGCACGGCCAGAGACTCCTCTGCCAGGTGATTCTAGAACCTTCTGTTCAGCTGACAACACTCACCATCACAGAGGGCTTGCAGATAAAAGACAGTAATATGTGCTTTGATTGTGTTTTAACCATCCCTGATTTCTGAGGGGCTGAATCCTACTTGAGATGAAACCAAGTCCCACACCATATCCTAACTATTTTCTTTAGGCATTGCCTCACCCACTCTACCTCAAGAATTCCCAACACCAGGGCCCCCTGCCAATATTCTTTCTTCAGGAACTCAGGGCTGGACTTGTCATTCAGAAATGAACCACAATCTTACGGACAGACTGAGGAGTTCAGAGACTAAATGAAAGGTTACTTCCACTGCCTAATTCAGGAAGGGAGGGAGGAACTGTGGACTTCTTCTGCAACTCGTTAGAGGCCTCGCTGTCTTCCAGCTTCTTTCCCTCTGCCTTAGGTCAGGATAAAGGACCACATAAAAAGGAAATCAGCCCTGGTTTGAGACCAGAGTTTCGTCAGTGAAATAAAGATTTTGGTGTACCTGCTCCAGGATGCAGCCATGCACACAGCTTCTGTATGGACCTCTGATGCCGGGGGGCAGGAGGGAGTGACTAGGGTGGCAGCTAATTATTCCTCCTCTCTCTTTCTAATGCACCAACACCAAGCAAGTGTAGTTTCTTATTCCCATGCACACATTAGAAAGAGTTCCTTGCTTCTCCAGAGAGACCACTGGAGTCAGCTGCAATGCCATCACAACTAAAATACATTCTTTCTATTATCATAAAAGAAAACAGTGTTTGAGCAAGGCATTTCAGGGGACTATTCCTCCATCATAGTTCTGGGCAGGAAGATTATGATATTGTCACAACTAAAATTATTGCCTTTTCTTCTGCTCATTAGAACAATTAGCACAGTGAGACATCACACAGAAACCTTTCCTTTTAAAAATTAGAGTGGAATAACTTATAATTAATCCTATGTGTCATCCAGGCTCATTTTTTATTGTGCTAAGCAATAGCTATTAAGTTAAGCTCATTCTCATGCTGCAAAATTGAACTGCTGTGCATTATGGGACAGCATTCCATGTGTGCAGACACTTGTCTTCTTCCCTGACACAGCAGATGCTCTGTGAGGGCTCGTTCAGCCTGGAATCAACTACGAAGACTGAGGATGATCTCAGTGAGGCCAGAACACATGCCAAGCTTGCCTGGCCACCCCACAAAGGCTCTCTGTAAGAGAATAGCAACGTTCAAATGATTTTTCAATTAAAGGTCACCTGGAATAATTGGATTTTTATTTATTCTAATACACAAATCCTATCACTGCCAAGTCTTCTAAACCAAAGCCACCTACCAAAACGAGCTGGTCTATGTAATTTAAGGCAAGAGTAAACAATGCCAGCAGAACCTAGACCTTGTAGTCTTCTAGCCGATGGAGTGGCGTATCGACCAGGTTAAAACGGAACTCTCTGATCTCGGCATTTCTTGAGTCCCAAGGAAGTCATCAATTTTGGAAATATTCATTGAGTATTCTTTGCAGCCAGTACTATCACAGGTTCTAGGAGTGATACAAATGTGAGGGAGATGGTCCTCCTGCCCTTAAATATCTGTCAATTTATAAAGGAGATAGACACGTTCTTAAGTGACATGGACAAGGCAGATATTTAAATAGAAGCGTAAAGCAAGAGGCCACGGGTGCGAGGAGTGGGGGTGTCATGAGAGTGGGATTTGGTGGTTGACAGCTGTTCATGTCAATCTTTAATCTGAGGAATGTCAAGATCATTATTAACTGCACTAACTCATAGAAACAAGCTTTGCAGGACTCTAACCTCACAACTCAGGGAGGTGAGGGTTGGCCATCCATCTCAGGATGAGCTCCTATCATCTGAACAAATGTACACGTGGAGTGGGATGAGAGAAGGACCGTGGAAGGGAGAGGATGGTATCCGATCCTCTCTTGCTAATAGTAACCCCACCCATGCCCTGAAAATGAGGGTCTTGTTTTGGGCAACAAAGTGAGAAGAGTAGGTACTTAAAGCTAAAGTATCATCTTTGTGTGTGTGTGTGTGTGTGTGTACACACACATACAGGCACGCTCACACACGCTCACATACGTGGAAATCAGAGGACAACTTGCAGGAGCCAGTTCTTTCCTTCTGCTCTGTGGGTTCCAGGACTGAGCTCCGGTGGGCCTGGCAGCACGTGCCTTTGGCCTTTGCCTGCTGAGCCGTCTCCCTGGCCCGTATCAGGCATTTGAAGGGTTCGCTATTGTGATAGGGGATTCTGCCCAGGTGATGAGGTGTGAGAGAGGAGACATTTCTCTTCTCTTCCTTACACAGACTTCAGAAGCTGCCTCTCAGGAGGAGCCCC